TGTCCAACAGAGATGCTGGATCATACTACGTTTGATCTGTACGAGCGCCCTTTTGTAAACAAACCCAAAAGATAAATAATAATGGGGGCTGTAAAGATCATAACCCCTTTCCAGGCACCGGCTACACCAGGCCTTCTATTTTCTGGTACCTGGGGCCCAAGAATGTCAGAGAACAGATTTAGCTGTCTCCAATAAGTAGCTGAAGTTCTATGCACTCCAGAAAGAATCCAATCTACTACGGGGAAGGAATCCCTGAAGAATCATAGGATGAGGATCCCCAATTGGATCTGCAAAAGAAGAGGGAACGGCGGGATTTGTAGAACATCCCTGTATTACATTAATAGGAGATCTAGAAACACAGATCCAGTATCACAAAAGGTGGGAATGCATAGGCTCCTAGTGGTAGCCATTCTTGCATGAATGCATCTACCACCTGGCAGTCTGGACCAAGAGCCAGCAAGAAAAAAACGGTGCTTGTTCCTTGAGGCAAATAGATTAAAATGTAACAGTCATCAAAGTAAATTAAGGGCCTGGAAGACCACTCTGTCCGACATACAGTTGTTGACGTCTGTCCAATGTCTGAAGAACCAGTCGCAGTCTGATTCGATGCACCCAGAAGGCACTACGCGTATAACGTAATGTTTTAGCTGAGGCAAAACTGATAGATGTCCTTTGTCAGTTCTGAGAACATCTCCACCCAGGCAATTGATGTACAACAGAGAAATTGTCCATCTGTAGGAGGATGCAACTATTCTGCTATATTTACAAACTCAATTAACCCAATTAGGATCACATCTTGTATAATCATTGCTCCTCAACACACCTGGTATGATTAGTGGCAGTCAGAGACCCATTGGGAGTGTATATACTCCATTATGGCTCCAGCAGCCTGGCATGTACTGGGCAGGAGAGGCGGCCAATCTCCCAGTACAGTGGTGCCCAGACTTAGGAGCCCTTGATCAAGAGTCCCATTACCCCCCCTCGAACCAGTGGAGGTGATCCAAGTCCACTCCTGGGCAGCTTTCCAGAAAAAAAAAAGTGTGGGGTGAAGGTATGGGGGATGGCGCACCCCACCGCAACTCACCTATAATGGCCTAATTTTTCCCCAGCGCCAGGACAGCTCAATATCATGTCAGGTTGGTCAGGACCTTGGCTGACTTCTGGCTGCAGCTACAGCACAGGTTACACCACCTGACTTTGATTTGGCAGGAGAGCATGCTCAAATATGGCGACGGAGGTATCAGTGTATCTGGCCCAGACACAAGGTGGCACAGACACCGGTGTCAACGCAGACCACAGATGGACCTCTAGTGACTCGGGAGATACAGAGGGGAATCCCACTGGCAGTCTATGCAGTGAATCACCAACCTTTCTACATGTTCAGGGGCCTGAGGCTCATCTACCCGGTACATGACTATACTCTGTCCACAAGGGGCATAGGCTGACATGGGCTCTGGGACTGTGCTAGCATGGTCTCCTGGTACCTCACCTTATTCTCTTGTTGGTATCATTATGGGGCAGCTGAGGTGTCTCTGGTTTACATGCTGCTTTTGGCACACTCTTTCCTGATGATTATTGTCTCAACTTTAATGGTTAATATCACTAGCGCATATTATTATCGTCTCAACAATAGGGGGGCCTCCTAGGGGAATTTTCTTGCTGTACTCTATGCTTGTCTATCTTGTTTATCAGTATAAAAAAGTACAGTGTAATGAAATCCCCTATTTACAGACTATACGAACAAGCCTGTTAGGTTATTTGGAGAATTACAGCGGGATTTCATGGAAATAACAATAAATGCGAAAGTGGCCGACCCCAGATAGCTATAGTATGGAACTTGCAGTTGGCTGCAAACACACGAACGGCCGGTGAAAGTCAAACTTCAGTCGACGATTATGAGAACTGTGTTCGTGGGATCTGAGCGCTATTCGCCTAGAATATGCCCTCAGATCCAAGCTATCTGGGGATATGTGGAACTTAAAGTTTATGTTGTGTAAAAAGAAAGTTATATATTTTTATTCTGTTTTGCTAAATAAGAAAAGCCATGCTTCTTTCTTCCTGGAGATAATTAAGGCTCTCTTTGCTACCTTAAGTTAATTATCTCCAGGATATACATTGTGGCAGACTGTTCCAATGAAAGGATCTGGCGGTCCTTCCATGTAAACATGCTCAAGCCATATCTCGAGAGACCAGAGGAGGTCTCCGCGGTATGCGCTCCAGCATATGAAGATAGTGAGGGTATCCCTTTACCAGATATGCTTCCCCAGGAACCCACAGGAGTAGACCAGGTACAGTTGGGTCCAGAATAAGGTTCCGAGGAACAAGCTCAGGCTTCCCAACTGTTAAAGGAATTTGGGGGCATGTTTTCAGCAGCCCCAGGGTATACGACCCTGGCAGTCCACAGAGTGGAGACCCCAGGCCAGTTACCCCTGCGGCAGCAGCCTTACCGAATTCCAGAGGCAGTACGGGAAAGCATGTTAACGGAACTCCAGGACATGTTAGAACTGGGGGTCATAGAACCGTCCCAAAGCCCCTGGGCTTCCCCAGTAGTGCTGGTTCCTAAAAAAGACGGTACCACCAGGTTCTGCGTGGACTACCGTAAGCTAAATGATCGGACCGTTACCGACGCATACCCCATGCCCAGTATTTGACCACTATTGATTTGTGCAAGGGATATTGGCAAATCCCTTTGGAGCCTGAGGCCATTCCAAAATCGGCATTTGTCACCCCATTTGGCCTATACCAGTTTAAGGTTATGCCATTTGGGATGAAGAATGCCCCAGCTACGTTTCAAAGGATGGCAGACCGGCTCCTAGAGGGATTTCAGGGCTTCGCTTGTGCTTACCTGGACGATATAGCTATCTTCAGTGGCACTTGGGAAGCCCACCTGGAGCACATCTCAGTAGTGCTCAACCTAATTCAGAATGCAGGGCTAACCTTGAAGCCTGAGAAATGCCACATGGGCATGGCTGAAGTCCAATATTTAGGTCACAGAGTAGGGTCAGGAAAACAGAGACCAGAGCCCGCTAAGATTGAGGCCATCACCCAGTGGCCTCAACCCCGGACGAAAACCCAGGTCATGGCGTTCTTGGGCACCGCAGGTTATTACAGGAAATTTGTAGCGGAATACAGTGCCCTTGCCAAACCCTTGACAGACCTCACCAAAAAGTCCCTACCCCGACAAGTAGTCTGGTCCACTGAGTGTGAGGAGGCGTTCCAGAAACTCAAGGCTGCGTTAAGTGCATCTCCTGTGTTAGCGGCACCTGATCATACTAAAAGGTTTCTCGTCCACACAGATGCCTCAATGTTTGGACTGGGAGCAGTATTGAGCCAGGTGGGAGATGATGGCATGGATCACCCGGTGGCGTATCTGAGCCGAAAACTATTACCCCGCGAAGTCAGCTATGCCACCGTGGAGAAAGAGTGTCTGGCATTAGTCTGGGCACTTAAGAAACTACAACCCTACTTGTATGGACGCTCTTTCACAGTGCTGACTGACCACAACCCTTTAATTTGGCTTAACAGAGTAGCTGGCGATAACCCCAGACTACTCAGATGGAGCTTGGCACTGCAACCCTATAATTTTACAATGCAGTATCGCCCCGGGAAACAGAATGCAAATGCAGATGGCCTGTCCCGGCAAACTGAACTGGAAAAGTAGTTATTTTTGTTTGTTTCTCCTGTGCTACCGGACATCCCTTAGCCGACCCGTTAGGATCTAAGCAGGTATGCCGTTCCATGGGACTAAGGGGGAGCTGTGTAACGAAATCCCCTATTTACAGACTATACGAACAAGCCTGTTAGGTTATTTGGAGAATTACAGCAGGATTTCGTGGAAATAACAATAAATGCGAAAGTGGCCGACCCCAGATAGCTATAGTATGGAACTTGCAGTTGGCTGCAAACACACGAACGGCCGGTGAAAGTCAAACTTCGGTCGACGATTATGAGAACTGTGTTCGTGGGATCTGAGCGCTATTCGCCTAGAATATGCCCTCAGATCCAAGCTATCTGGGGATATGTGGAACTTAAAGTTTATGTTGTGTAAAAAGAAAGTTATATATTTTTATTCTGTTTTGCTAAATAAGAAAAGCCATGCTTCTTTCTTCCTGGAGATAATCTATTCGCCTAGAATATGCCCTCAGATCCAAGCTATCTGGGGATATGTGGAACTTAAAGTTTATGTTGTGTAAAAAGAAAGTTATATATTTTTATTCTGTTTTGCTAAATAAGAAAAGCCATGCTTCTTTCTTCCTGGAGATAATTAAGGCTCTCTTTGCTACCTTAAGTTAATTATCTCCAGGATGGAAAAGAGGGAGTGATTTATGTAAAAGGGGAGTGCTTATGCTATAGCCACTGTGATTGGCTACTGTGTTACTTTTGTCCCAGTCTTCCATCTGGTCCCCTAGGGGAGTGTCCACCAGGTGGAAGACCTGCATAAATACCGGGCAGGTAGCCCACAGTAAATCAGATCGTTTTACCCCTTCATGAAGTCTCGACTCATGTTTGGGGGATTGGGAGCTATAATCACTTCGTTTCAGTTGGATTTCGGGAGAAGCTGCAAGGATAATCGCTGCACGAATGCAAGGATCCTTTACATACAGTAATTTTGACATTCTATGCTTTATTTACAATTATTACTATCAAATAACGCTATCCAGAATCTTTGTGCATGCTTCATATCTATGATTCTCAATGCATTACAAAATAACAACAAAAAAAATAATGGCAAAACTGTGATCAGTTCCAAGCAATTGATGTGCAAGAAGGATTCTTGCCAAGATCAATGTCTTCCTGTGGCACCAACCTTGCATGTCGCAGCCCAACCTAAGAGACTGGATTCAGACTCAAAGACAAAGTCTAGAGTAGTACCTAATATTGCACACCCACGCCATGCGTGCATATGCATCATCCACCAACTTCGTTACGTATTTCTTCTGTAAGTGGAGGTAAATGTTGCAGTAGAGGGGGCTGAGCTAGCCAGCAAATGGAGCAGTCGCATGTACCCTGAGCTCCGACACAAAACCGTCTTTGTAACCTCAAATTGCCCCTTCTGGGCAAGCAGATTTGCTCTTGCAGGGCACCAGCTGAGGCAGAAGAACATGGGGAAGCACTCACGCAAATCTCGGGGCTCATGCGGGAGCCAAACCCGGGATATCGGCTTCCTACTGACCCAGCCGTCTAGACCTAAAATGGCAGATCCAATGGCTGTCACACCACAAGGATCCACTGCGGCCTCAGAGGAGAAAGACCCAGAAGTGGAGGAACGGCAGCATGACCCGCAATGGCCCACAAAAACAGATATCACTGCAATTGTGATAGAGATCAAAGCCTACATTGCCTCGGAAATGGCGGTCCTGAAAACGGACCTCAACACTCTGGCAAGCAGGATGACCTCCACAGAGGACGCTGTCAGCAGCCTTGGAGTCAAACAAGACACCACAGCAGCTCAACTACATAAGGTATCACATAAGTGTGCAGAATTAACAGCAAAAGTGGGACAGCTGGAAGACATGGCAAAGCAGCGCAATTTAAAAATCCGTAGGATCCCAGACACTATTGATGCTAGTGAGCTCCCACAGTTCATCAAGAGGCTACTCTCCCCTACCCTAACACCCAAACAGGCAAAAGGAACGCTGCTGGATGGGGTATACCGCCTCCCAGGGAACAGTACCACCAAGTGCCCTGGATCCAGAGATGTCATAATAAGTCTTCGATCACGAACTGACAAGGACACATTTGTGGCACAAGTCAAAGGCTAATCACCATTCACTTTTGAACAGCACTCACTGTGTTTCTATCAGGATCTTAGCAGGTCAATGCTGCAGTGGTGTGCAATGCTGAAGGTGGTGACCTCTCAAATTGCAAGCTGCAGAAATTCAATACCAGTGGGGAATCCCACAGGCACTTGTAGCAGAGAAGAGTGGCAAACAGCACAGACTCGCCTCTGTGGCGCAGGCAGACAGTGAAAGGGTTAATGCTGTTCTGGACTCAACTCCCCTCGATTCTTGATCCTCCGGTCACCACATCAATTGATGGGAGTTCTTGTTAGCAAATTAAGACACAGACACGAAAGAGTGCTTAACAAGTTCTCAATAAGTAAATTTTCAGGGCTAGCATTTATACACAGTTTGTCACGCAAGCAGTGAGATTTATCGTTTCCTTATAGTTAATAGTACATACTTGTCTGACATTAAAAAGATAAGCATTTGAATAAAGACGGGACAGGAACATCCTGAGGTTAAGCGAGGTCATACATCCTGTAGAAGTGAGGCCTCTCAAAACATGTGATAGAATACATTTGCCAAGGTCAGCATAATTACTTTAAACATTATTTTAAGGCCTATAAAGCAAAAAGAGTTAACCATTTCATATCCTTACAGTCAGCAATAATGATTATTATTATTACCTTATCTAAGCATAAAATAGAAATGAACAAGAAAAGTTAACTACTTCATATTCTTACAGACAGCTTTCTGCAATCTCTGGGACTGGCTGCTAAAGTTACTTCTAGGCCGAACAGACCTATACATCAATCGGACATTGACAACATAGCTGTCTTCACACCTGCAAGCTCAATGGCCTCAGGTTAAGGCAATTAACCGAATGGCCAATTGTGGTCCTATGCAAACCTACCTTGGTCGTTAAATTGTTTAATACACTATTGTTCTTCTGCAATTAGTTAGCTTTATGATTTTATGTTCTCACCTTGATATGTCCTCTGGCACTCTCAGACCCTTATGAGTTACTAACAGCCTAGCGCAATATGTCACGATTTAAAGTCGCTCCCCAAACGCAAAACCCTCCCCCTTTGAGTTCCGGGGTTACGGAGCTTAGCTATCACCCTGTACCTAGCCCGATCTCAGCTACATAATTCTCATACAACACATTATTACTTCACATATATACCAATGTTCACTATTGAGAATCGTAAGCTATGTTAAGCTTGTTCATATAAAAAGTGAAAAATGTGTGACTATTCATACCACTGTCAAGCATGTATATATATATCTGTGTACGCTGTTGTGGCATTTTGATGATTATTTTACCTACCTGCACAATAAAAATATATATTTTTTAAATGTTGCAGTTAATTCCTTGAGCTCTCACATGAGTTGTTACCAGTTTGAGGAGTTTGATGAAACACCATTGGGCTGAACTCAACCCAAATGGAAGGCCTGTGAATTTCCACAGAAAATACAGAAATTGACAACTCTCCTAATGAATCACAACAAACAGGTAGGAGTCTTTGAGGTCTAGTCAGGTAAACAAGTCTACTTCTTGAAAGAAGTCTCTCAACAGATGGATACCTTACATCTTGAAGTGTTGGTAATGTACGTATGACTCGAGTTGTTTGATAACCGGACGCATGTCTCCTGTTTTCTTCTGTACAAGATATTGCTGAAAAATCCCCCTGGCTGGTTCACTAGCTCCTTTTGTCTGTAGATTCTAAACTTCTTCATTTATAAAGTCATGTTGTTGAAACGGGGTGTGGATGGGTCGTGGAGCAGTCTGTTGAACTGGAGAAGAATGTAATTCTATGCAATACCCCTGTAGTGTTTGCAGAAACAGTGCATTGGAAGACATGTTATACCATGCCAGTAAGAAGAGAGTGAGTCAGCCAGCAATCAGATAGTGGGAAGAAATGTATGTGTAAGGTAAACTCTCCTGATGCGAACTTGGACAAGAGTTACGTCTCCTGTCTGAACCACGAGAGAGGATATAGTGAAGTCTTGTGGAGAATTTTGGATTGAAGGAGGTAGTGTGAAAAGGTCTTGAGTCTGTGGGCCTGAAACGGCTGGTTGCATGACCCCTCTGCTGACCATCCCTTTATAAAATACCTCTGGAGATGGTATGGAAAACTCTTCATGTACAATTGAGGTTTTTTTAACAAAGAGAAAGGGTTAATGTGTTTATTCAGCTCCTTGATAAAATGCTCCCCTAATAACATGCCGTGTGCTGCAGGATCCAGTTCTTTCGTCTCTAAGTCTGCTAACTTGAAATCTATATGTAATAATGCTGCTTTTCCCATTCAGTGACTAGTGCTACGTTGAAGTTTCCTAGCAGACACTGGGCACATTTGCGAATATCACTGGCACAGGTCCTGCAGCAGACAGGAGGTTATACAATAATATTACAATACACACCCTGCACCTATAATGGGCACAGGGTGACTTAAACATAAGAGTCATCCGGGGACCTACATGAAGTGTCAGTCTTATGTACATGCATTAACAGGGTGCGCAGAGAGGCACCAGCTGGTGGTGGACAAGTCAACATTAGGACGCCCACAGCACATATGCCATTTTATGGCCTATAATAATAATAATAAGGGCTCACTACCGTGGCAATAAATAGTTTTCATTCAGGGGGCTCAATCAAGTGATGTTACAATGTTATGCAGTACAATAGGAGTGCAAATGCAGTGTGAACCTCAATTGTAATTAGGGTTCTCACCCCAGTTTTACAAAGTTGGCCATGATTGCACAGTTAGAAAATGTGCATTCTGAAAGGGTATGAGACCAAGCTTTAATTCTACTGGATATGGGTTTATAGTATAGCCAGACCAGTATGCAAATGCCCTGCAGGTAACTGTATATGGGGAACCAAGCCCTTACAAGGCAGCCAATGTGATATGGAAGAAAAACAAGCCATTACGCCACACCGTTCATATGGAGCTGTGTGCTATTATCACCAAAATGGTCGCTGAAATCACTTGAGATGCGCAGTTTCTGGCAAAATGGCGGGTGCGCATCTCAGAGGGTTCGGCAAGGCCGGGATGCAGTTAGTAGCTAGTACATGGTTCGCAACTCAGTCCGTATGTGGACATTTAAAAAAAAAAAATACTTTTAAGAAAGGGGATTGCAACAAAAACAAAGAATATGAGATATCATAAGCAGAAGCTTAGAGAAACTCAGTAGCTTGCATACACATGCTCTATACAAAAACATGATTACATTCATTCGGTTAGTCCCTGCAAATGTATTGCAAAAAAACAGAGAATATGAGAACTTTGAGAACCGACAAATGTTTAGGGAAACAGCAGCTTGTCCTTCGGTTTGTCTTCACATAAGTGAAGTCCAAAACTGAAATGCTGGCAAGTTCTTTCTGCACGAGAGATACAGCAACCTGGACAATTGTTTCGGCCTTTTTTTTTTTTTAAAAGAGACCGGTGGTCAAGGGGACAGGTAAAAAAAACAGTTGCAGCAATGAGTGTAGGATTTAATGAGATACATTTTTTGGAGTGTATTGAGTGAGATTCATTAAATATTTTTGAGTTAAAGGTGAAGAGGGAAGGGTTGGAGATTAAATATGAAAGATGTGATATAATTTACTTTGATTCCAAGGTTCCAGCTTATAGGTGTCATATTAGATATCCTATATTAAAATTGGCTAACTTGGACTCAGGAAATGCTTGATGCTTAAAATGACACTTAAGACCATATATGTCTAGTTCTGGGAGCAGATAGCCCCCACCTAAGCTGTCTCTTCTCAAATCAGTCTGTTCTTTCTCGGAACTTATTTGTTATATGTACATGACGTTATTCCCTATGTCTTATCTGTACTCCTTTCACTCCCTTCCTACTACTGTCCTATGAGTATTTGCACGTAAGCACTTACTTTTTAATGTATAAAAACACAACTGACAAATAAAGGTCAGAGGCTTATTTTGAATACCAACAGGTGTCTGGTGTCTAATTCACGCTCCTCCCAGTGCACTTGAAAAAAACAAATTTGGGCTCCCCTGAATATACCAAAGATCAATATTTGGATCTATATCAAAGAGGAGGCAAAAATGTGATACAAATGATGTCTTTACTAGTGAAGAAGAGTATGTGTAATGATGAGGAAGCATGATTAGTCTACATAAACATTTAGGTAGCGGTTGGGCATCTAAGTGAGGTTGAAGGATTAGGAATAGTTAAGTACATAATTTGTTTTTGTAAAACCAATAATAGCAAAACAAAATGACACAAAAACAAAATAAGGAACAAGGGCAGCAATTAAATATCAGCCGATCACATATATCAGCAGTTATTGGATTAAATGAATCTCAACAGTTAAATGCTTGTTCAAAAATATTGTTTTGAAAATTCAATTTAAAGCTTATATTTTACATTGAAAATATTGGCTTCAGCTGTTTAATTCCATTTAATGGGCACATAGCGTTTGTTAAACGATCGGATTTGACAGCTTAAATCTGTTGATAAATCTTTTTTTTTTTACTATTTGCTTACTGACAGCATTTACTATTTACTAATTTTTCCTATCAACAAGGTTTAGTTAATTTCACAGAAAAAAAATGCAATTTCTAATGTATTTGATAAAAAAAACACAATTGATATATACAGTATATATGTATATAAATAATATAAGCATGATGCTTAAAATAAAAGGGTGATCATCTTTACAACCGATATGAACAACCGATATACTTACAAACAATATTTTCTGTGCTACATGCTACAAATCATGGTTTACATTTCAATATTAGAAAAGTACTGATAATATGGCTATACACATGCACTTTAAATATTACATCATAGAACTATTTAACCTCAGGGTGGCTTCTCTATAGGTATCACAGACTGTGATGCTCAATACGTTAACGCGTAACTAGTGTTATACAGTGTTAATCAATGTTATATAATGTAACATATGTAACAAATGGCATTGAGATACAAATAGACACAATTACCAGATTTTACTAATTTCATGACATAAAGTCATGATTTTATAAAGAACACGGAGGCGAGTATTA